GAGATTGTTCCTCCCTGGCACTGCCCGAGGCCAGGCTGGACCTGTGCGAGCTGTCCCTGCCATGGGATGGGATGGGATGGGATGGGATTCATTCCTTCATCACTTCCTTTCCCAAAGTTTAATCACTCCCTGTGAGCCTGCAGAATCCCTGAGGGAGCTGGGAAGGGCTGGAGAATTCCTGAGGGAGCTGGGATGGGCTGGAGAATTGCTGAGGGGCTGGGAAGGGGCTGGAGAATTGCTGAGGGAGCTGGGAAGGGGCTGGAGAATTGCTGAGGGAGCTGGGAAGGGGCTCAGGCTGGAGCAAAGGAGGCTCAGGGGGAATTTCTGGCTCTGCACAAGTCCCTGGCAGGAGGGGACAGCCGGGGGGATTTGGGATCTGCTCGCAGGGAACAGGGACAGGAGGAGAGGGAACGGCCTCAGGGCAGCTCAGGGTGAATATTTGGAATATTCCTACATGGAAAGGAATCTGGAAGTGCTCAGGGAGGTTGGGAATTCCCATCCCTGGGGATTCCAGAGCCCCTGGGTGTGGCACTCGGGGCTGGGGCAGCGCTGGCCCTGGCAGGGCTGGGCATGGCTGGGCTGGATGGGATCAGAGGATTTTTCCATCCTGAATGATTCCATGGTTCTCTGATTCCTGGGACAGGGCACATCCCAGGCCCTGCCCTGGGGTCAGGGAAGCCAGGGGCTGTGCCCAGCCCCACCCAGAGCTGACTCTGCCTCCCTTTCCCTGTTTTCTCTGGATCACTGCTAAAGGAGCTCCCTGGGGCTGCTCCACACAGCCCCTCCCAGCACGGGAACAGATCCCTGGAGCATCCTGGGGCACGGGGGTTCCCTGAATCCCACAGCCCCCTCACACACTCCATGGAGCTCCTGGAGCAGCTCCTTCCTCCTCCTAAGCTCTGTCTCGTGTTTGGAGTCATTCCACAAAATCCGTGGTTCATTTCCTGGGCACAGTGAAGCTGCTGCTCTCACCCATCCTCACCAAACCATTCCCTGATTTACAGCTCCCCTCAGCAGCTTTTCTGCACCAGCAGGGAAAAATAAAACTTCAGAATTATTTAGTGCCATGAATCATCACCTCCCTCCCAATCAAACCCGTATTTATGTACAGCAGTTCTGATCCCATTCCCTCCCTGCTTCCAGCTGACTCTATCAATGACTGCCAGAATCCATTAATTCCTCAAACTTTACTCAACCAGCATCTGGAATTCTCAGACCAGGGAAAAAAAGATGTCCTGAAAATACCCTGCCCAAGTATAGCAACAAATTAAAGTCTAGTGGTAAACTCCCCAAACTGGAGTAGGAAGATGTTTTGGAGAATCCATTACGAGTGCTGACTTCCAAAATCCAATGACTGCTGTTCCCAACAAATACCCAAGGCTATCATTCCAGCTCTGGAATACTCCAGGAAAGGAGTTCAACACTGAACCTGAAGTGCAAGTTTAAGGTGCAGAGTTTAAAAAGCAGCCAGTTTTGTTTGTCCATGCTCAGGGACACTGGCTTATCCCACAGCTCCCCAGCCAGGGCTGCCAGGGGCCAGCAGGAACTGCTGAAATCCTCTGAGCTCACTTTCCACCAGCACTGGATAATGAAGGATGACTCCAGGCTTTGTTGGGCACAGCTGGGATGTCGGCTGGGAATTCCCTGAGCCAAATCCATCCACAGCCAGGGCTCAGGAGAGCAAACCCAGCATCCTCATCCACCTGTCCTTCCTGGAATGTGCTCCAAGATCCCTCTGCTCCTCCCAAAGCCCTGCACAAGCCCTTTTTGTATCATTTCACCAGGACTGTGTTCATTGTCATTTTTCCATGGAGTGGGAGGATTTCAGGAAAGGAACTGGTGTCACAAAGCTTGGCTGCCTTGCCCTGGTGAAATGGAACAGCCCTGGCAGCCCAGCACCTGAATTCCCACTGCCCAGCCCCCCAGTTCCCCCAATTCCCACTCCCCAATTCCCACTCCCCAATTCCCCCAGTTCCCACTCCCCAATTCCCACTGCCCAGCCCCCCAGTTCCCCCAATTCCCACTCCCCAATTCCCAC